TCCATGTGGCATTGTCTCAGGGCCAAAGGCCAGGATGGTAGGAGTTTTAGATTCCAACTCAAATTCAAGTCCATTATATTAAACAAAAGGCTAGGCTGATGTATTATTCTAGAAACCACAAGCCCAGTGCCTTAATAAGGTGGATGTTCATTTTTGTTCTCCCAGTACCCTTGTTGCTGTGGCTCCATGGTCCCTTTGCACAGAATGTTGTCTTGTCCTCATGGTTGAAGCTGGGTCACTGCCTTGTCCATACCCCCACGTAGGGTGGGGGAAGGGCCTGAAGGGCAAGTACCTTCCTTTTTCAGGACGTTTGGGCATTTTAAGCAACAGTTGCACTTTCATCTCCTCTCATATTGCATTGATCAAAACCTAGTCAATGTGGCTACACCTAACGGCAAAAGGTGCTGGGAAATATTGGGGACACAACCAAGAAAGTTCTGCCCTGTCCTCCCAGCCTCTTATAGCCACTTGTCACAGGAACAGGCAGTAAACTGGTTCCCATGGAGGCCAGTAGGCTGAGATGGCCCTGTAGCCAGAGGTGAGCAGCACAGGTGGCCCAGGGGTCAGCCAGCCCTGATGCCACTCCCCAGATTAGCAATCCCCATACTGTGTTTGCCTCAAAGGCTGCCAGGAGTGAACAGTCAGGCTCCAGCCCACCATACAGAAGTACCCTCAGAGGTTAAGGCTGCTGGGCTTCCTGGAGGAGCTGGGGCTTCAGCTGGACATGCAGATGAGTGAAAAAGAGGACATGTCAAATAGAGCTGCATTGCAGAAGGCCTCAGGAGACACATAAAACAGTTGAGACTTGATAGTTTCAAGAAGGGAGTCAGCTTCTACATATTCAGGATGTTTCAGTGAAGGAGGGTGGGTGCAGAGGGGGCAGGGGGGCCAGGGTAGGAGGCAAGCACTACAACAGACCACCTCAGGACGCTTGCCAGGGTGAGCATGAGTCACATGACAGGCATCTGGCCTTTCTGGAGGAACTAAAAAATTCCAAGGGGTGGAAAACTCAAAGCTCAGAAATTTCACATAAAAGGTGGGTAAGTTAAGCAAAGACAGAGCCAGGAATTTCTGAAGAGAGGTTCCATGTTTGGGAAGGAGACCTTGCAGACTGCCCTGAGGTGCTTCTGAGAGACCAAATCCAAGCCCATGAAGGAGCAAACCAGGCTGCCTCCAGCCCACTCCTCGCTGCCTCGCCCCAGCTGCTGTTGACCAGACACACTTATGTAGCATGGCCGCTTGTCTGTGGAGTCTGTGGTGATTTGATCCATGTCTGGGCCAGTATTTTAACTGTCACTCTGGTTGCTATATAGATGCCTTCAAACAGAAATTAGCTGTTCTCTGCTCTTCTTCTCATTCTTACCATACAGCATATCCTTACTGTCCACTTTACACCTTTCAAACCCTTCCTTGTGTTACTCAGGGTTCACATGGCTGGAAGAGACATAACCCATAAGGAATTCATCCAGGCTAAAAGGAACTCCAGAACCAGAATGCCAAAGCAGACCCACTGCCACCAGCTCAGTTCCCAGCTCGTGGTCGCCCTCCTCTGGTTTCTAAAGCAGGGAATCTTCCTGAAAGCAGGTTGCCTCTTTCTTCTGAAGAGTGGCTAATAGGATCTATACCCAGCCCACTATGGCCCCTAGTCTCCTGCTTTGCTCTGCAGGTGTTAGCAGGAGGGACAAGTGCCTGGAGAGAACACCACACTTGCTTTGAAAAAACAAAGACCCTCGATGAGCTGGTTTGCACAGAGGCTGTAGTGGCCACAAGCAGTTATTAAAAGGATGGCACAGGACTGGGCGGTGCTGCTTTCTGTTGTACTCCTAGGGTCACTAAGTAGCATCTAACAAGAGGAAACAGTGTAGGGAACTCTGGTGGCCTAGAGGCAAGGAGCTGCGACTACAATCCCAGAGGCGCATGGTTCGAATCCACCAGATGCTCTGCTGGGGAAGGAGGGACAGTCTCCTCCTGTACCAGTCAGATCTGATTTGACAGTACACTCACACAAAAATAATAAAATTTAAAAATAATAATAATAATATTTTTTTTAAAAAGAGGAAACAGTGGAATTCAGACAGCTCAGCTGTGCAGGAGAGCACTGGTGGCCGCTTCAGTAGTTCCCGCCTGGGCCAGTCCACTGTGACCACGGGGGCGAGCACCGTCTAGAGCTCTGGGTCCCCCCAGTCTCAAGCCACATCAGCTGCTCTTTTCTAAGGCTTTCAGTTCCTTTTCAAGTCCCCTCCTCCAATGACATGAGTTTCATTCCCACATGTTCTGGTGCTGAACCCCAGTACCCTGTCTCTGTTGACTGACTCCCCTGTCTGTGTGAGTGACTTCTGACTCTGACCCTCACTGTAGCTTCTCCGAAGTCTCCTTCCTCAGAGGTTAGGGTTTCTGGGAGCCTCCCCCTCCATCTTCACCACCCTTCCTAACGGCATCTTCCGCTCCTGCCTTTGGATCATCCCACTGTGCTAATCTGTTTCCAGGCCTCTGGCTAACTCCTTAGAGTGCTCTGGTGCCTTAGTGGTAAGGAGTTGTGCTACCAACCCAAAGACACGCAGTTTGAATCTACCAGCAGGTCCGCAAGAAAAACGTGGACACTCTCCTCCCATGTGACTCAATGGTACACAACGACAAAGCTAACTCCTTGTCCTCCACGGGGCTACCTGGCCAAGGAATCTGTGTTCGGCACCAGCTTTGGACTGTAAGCATCTCACAGGACAGGGGTCCTGAGTTAACATCTGGAAGAGATCTTACCCACACCTGAACAAAAAGGCCTCCAGCTGAGCAGTCTAGTTGCTAGTTGGGCTGATTTGGGATTTTCAAGAAAAATCATAAACTATTAAGGAAATAAATAAAGTTATCTCTTATCTCAGAACAAATGCCAGGGGCTTTAAATACAATATTCTGTTCATTCAAACCAGAACCAAGCTAGTTTACTGAACAAAGTCATTTTTACTAAATGTAGTAAATGTTTCCCCAGAAACTACCTAGCTAACCAGTACACATAGAAAACCCCTTTGGAGAACGAACATATAGTCCACACAGGGATTGCATTCATTTCAAGTCTGCGAAATTAGTGTGGACACTCACATGTGCTCGAGGGACTGCAGCCCTATGTGCTGCCTCCTCCCCAGTGCCTCCTACTTTTTGCCAGTGTGACTCACTGCCTATAGTGCCAGGCCTGACCCTGGGCCTCCCTTTTGCTGTTCAGCCCAGCAGTGGAAATTGGCTATTAACCCTGTAAACAGGCTTCTGACCCCAGGAAGCTGGGATGGGAGTGCAGAACTGAGCCTGTGATGCAGCCTGGGAGGGGGGCCCTCCAGGGCCTTGGCAGGCAACCCAGGACCACTGTCCTGCACCCACACGTAACCCTGGGCCAAGCACAGGATGAGAGGGGTCAGACCTAGAGGGGAAGAATTGCACCTACCCTTTGCTGTTAGCCCCTCAGGGCCTCTCAGCTGCCCTTCTCATACCCCACCTCCATCCCCATCATGGACCTGCTTGGACAACTCGTGGGCATGTACTGTCCCACCAAACCCTGCCCCCACCTAGAGGTACCCAGCCCTGGAACCCAGGATTGTGCATGAGAGTTTTACATGTAGCCCATTTTACGGGGGGCAAGGGGAGGGTCATAGTCATATGACCACTGGCCAGGATCCTCGTTCTCTGGCCATTACAACTGAAGGTGCCCTGGACTGGGTGAGTCCGAACCCCAGAACAGCGCCCTCATTAAGACAGAGGACTCTCATCAGTCCTTTAGGGCAGAAAGATGTTTGAAGAGTGGTGCTGCTTGGGGAGTGGGCACTCAGTGCTGACTGGAGCAATTCAGGAGCTTCAGACCTCTGTGGTGATGAGCAGGGCTGAGCTGCCTGTAACCCCAAGTGTGTGTGTTTGGAGTGGCTGCTGGCAAAAGACGAGAGGGGGCACAGCTCACCCACCCCTCCCTTCGTCACTAGAGTCTGAGCCGGTTGGGGCTGAGGGTGGAGCCACCTGGCCAATAAATTCCAGGGCTGCCTGGCTGGGGATCCGCTGCCACCAGAGGAGCCACCCTGTCCACAGCTCTCGGTGAGTATGGGGACTGCCCTTTCCAAGACTGGGGGTCCAGGATAGAGCTCTGCCCTGGGTGCTTATAGTCACTGTTCCCTCCCCTTCCCAAACCTGCTAGCCAGCATTCTAGAAAAAGCCCCTTTCCCTTCACCACCACCCCCAGGCCACTGTCCTTTCCTGTGTTTGCTGTCCTGGCATGGGAGGGACAAGGGGCAGAAGCATTTGCCCCACGACTACCCTATACTCTGTACCCACAAATACTACGGTGGGTTACAGACACAAGGCAGAGGGTCCCCAGGCACCACGTACCCCAGCTCTCAGATGCTCCTACTTTGCACTTGTCTCTGGAGAACTACTCTAGCTGGCCACCATCAGCCTGAAATCTTTTCCCCTCCCCAGTGTTCCTTCCAATACCACTTGTGTACGTGTACTCAGAACACCCCCTAGCTAACCCTCCAGCAGGTTTTAAGAAGCAATAAGTCGATCGCATGGGAGATTTCCAACCTTTCTCCCACAGCTGGTGGATTCAAACTGCACACCTTTGCACTGGCTGCATAATTCCTTAGCAGTGAGCCACCAGAGCTCCCTCCTTCCACTACTTTAGCCCCTTAAAAAAAGGAGAGGTGGGTTGGACCAACATGGAAAGCCTCAGAGCTGGTGAAGATCAGTAGCCCCTGCACCCTCGTGCTGCAGAGTCCTCTGGGAGAAGCACACTTGTCCATACAGCAGCATTCCTGGCCTGGTTGGGAGTCTCCAGGTCTAGGTCCCTGCCGGCTTGAGTCCCTGCCGGCTTGAGATGAGGAACAGGGACAGATAAAAGCATTAGGAAGCCCTAACACTGCCCTTGAGGTGCCTGCTGTCTAGGAAAACCTAGAATGGGAGAAAAGGAGCTATGTGTGGGGATGTCACGCTTATGAATGCTGTCCACTGTCTTTGGGAGCAGCTACGCCATGACCATCTGCAGGCGAGGCCTCCTCCTGCTGCTGCTCCTGCTGACCGCCCACCCTGGACCCTCGAAGGCTCAGCACTGGTCTCATGGCTGGTATCCTGGTGGGAAACGAGCCTGGGGTCTCCAGCAAGCCCCTGTGCTCCCAGGTGAGTGATGGGCCAACCCAGCCTGAAGGGGAGGAAGAAGAGTGCAGCCTGGCCCACCCCCAGTGGGGGTAAGGGCAAGGTAGAGGCTCAGGAAGGGTCCCTGGCATTGCAACAGGTAGCCCAGGCCAGGCTGCCCGAAGCCTCCCCAGCTATCCCCCAGCTCCCGCGGAAGAGAGCGCCCCTTGGGAGAGCAGGGCCGTGATCCAGCAGCCCTTCCGCGGGAAGCAGCGCGTGGCGCAGACCCTGTTGGTGAGTTGGGTGGCTAAGGGCTGTGGGATCGTGAAGGGGGGGAAAGGGACGCCACTGCGATGCCCCCGCTGCACAGACTAGACTTCTAAGCAATGCTTGCTAAGACAATTGGGTGAAAGGAGACGATCAGAAGTAACTAGAGATGGAAATAATGGAGCCTCCATAAATGAAACGGTAGCAGCAGAGGTGGCAGCCCCTAGGTCAGCAGAGAGGAAGACCCCACACAAACGGGGGAGAGGTGGCGGGGCGGAGAACGGGCCAGCCGCAGGACTAGAGGGGTCGGTAGCATGTGACCTAGGGATGCAGAGCTCCCCGAGGCCATAGCAGAAGGCAAGCACCTCACCCAACGGTGTGGACAGATGTCTTACTATTTGTAAATCAAACATTTTAAAGAGCATGGGAGGCAGAAAGTGGTAGATTCTACAGTGCAAAGTCTCGCCTAACCGCCTGAGCTGGGGTTGGACTGATTAGACTTGAGCCAGTCCCGGGGCCGCGTCCTCTGGGGGCCAGTGAAGTGTCCTCGGCCCAGGAGGCAGGCGGCGGGGCTGGAGGCAGCAGTGTTGGACCAGAGCTCGATAGCAGGGACGGGAGGCGATCGGCAGGCCGGGGCTGGGTGGTCCTGCGGCCAGAGGGCAGGGGGGACTGAACGCCCCTCTTCCTCCACAGACCGGACTCCGACCGCCGCGCCCCGCCCTCCAATAAAAGTGTGAAGCTGTTGCCTCGTGTTTTCTTCTTCGTGTCCTTCCTCTTTCACCCTCGCCGGAGACCCTTCTCCCGGGAAGCTTGGGGGAACTGACCCTCCGGCGGGAGGGGTGGCTGGGCGGGGGCGTGGCCTAGGGGGAGGGTGCTCGAGAGCCATGGTTCCCTGCGGTCACTTCCGCTTCCGGGTCAAGTGTCGTCATGGCGGCGCGCTGGTTGTTGTGAGTTGATCATGCTGCGCGCACTGAGCGGCCTGGGCGCCCGGCCCCCGTGCCGGCCCGCGGCCCCGCTCTTAATCCCCACGCGAAGCCGCAAGAGCCGCCATGACCCGCAGGCCAAGTCCAAGGTGGGGCGCCTGGTGACCCCGCAGTCGGTGGATCCCGTGGAGTTCTACATCCTGAGCGAGCGTTACCGGGAGTATCGCCGCACCGTGCGCGCCCTCAGGTGAGTCAGCGGGGCTGGGGAGGCGGCCGCCCAGCCGCGAGCTGGAGCCGGGGACGGGGGGCGAGGAGCATGGCCACCTCCGACGCGCCTGCCCCTAGGGTGGAGTTCGTGGCCGAGGTGCGGAGGAAGATGCTCGAGGCCCGAGTTGGGGTCGCGGCGGAACGCAAAGCCCAGGAGAAGGCCGCCGAGCACCAGGCGCTGATGACCTTCAACCGGGAGGAAAACCAGCGTCTGCACGAGCTGCGGTGAGGGGCCGGGAGAAGGGCGGCGGGCGGGCCGTCGCCAGCCGCGGGGCCCTGCGGCGCTCAGCCCCGGCCTCGTCCCCTCCAGGATTGCGAGGCTGCAGCAGGAGGCGCGGGACGAGGAGCTGCGGCGCGCGGAGGAGCAGGCCCGCCAGGCCCGTGAGGCAGAGGCCTGGGTCCAGCTCAAGCAGCAGGAGATTCTGCAGCTGCAGGTGGGCTGCGGGGCGCGGGACCGATCACGGTCTTTACTGCGAAGGGGGCACCCAGGCAGCGCAGGCGGGGGCCTTGGGGGAACGTGCGGGGGCATTTGGGGAGCACGAGCACCCCTGTCAGGAGATGAAAGTTGGAAGTGATAACCCAGTGCTCGTGGAAGACACCCCTAAGTCCACAGGGACCTGGTATTTTAATTTACAGGTGACGAAGTTGTTGACACGTTAAATATTCTTGGTCGTCAGGTTTGAAAAATACAAGACTTAAATTCAAAGAAACCAGTTAGGAGTAACTCCTCAAGAGTATGTTGTTGAAGAATATGTTGTTTTGGTTGTGTGCCTCCCTCCAGCGGCTTTTCAGAGGCTGTAAATTGCAAGGAAGCAGTAAACTTTGTGGGGAATTCAAACTGCGTGTCTTTGGGATTGCAGCGCAGCTACTTGACACTATAGCCCCCTAGAAAAGCTGAGGCTTATGTTGAAAGTAGTAGAAGTGGAGGATTGAGTATGAGATAAATGGAGACGTGACCAGGCACCCTACCTTCTCTCTCCCAATAGGAGGAGGCAAAAAACTTTATCACCCGAGAGAACCTGGAGGCGCGGGTGGAAGAAGCTTTGAACTCTCCAAAGAACTACAACTGGGCTGTCACCAAGGAGGGACATGTGGTCAGACCCCAGCACAAGGGCTAGTGGGGGCTCCGTAATGACAGTGCTTTCCTAGCCCTGACTGGACCGTGTTGGAGAGAGGGGAAAAGGGTTGAGCCGGACCTGGAATAAAGTAGCTGGTGCCTCTTATGAAGAGGAGACATGGATGGACCTCATCTGGCCTGTGTATCACCACTTTCCCGGAAACTCCTAAATACAAGGCCCTGTTTCACCAACAGCTGCAGCTCTCAGCGCAGCGTTCACCCCAGATTGGTTTCCAGTCTCTCCAGGGAGCCGATTGACTCTCAGTCCCTAGGGCGGCCACATCATCTCTTTTAAGTGTTGTCAGTAGCAGGAGTTGGCAAATTACAGCCATGAGTTAATACTGGCACTTTGTCTACTTTTGTAAATAAAGTTTTACTGAAACACAAAAACAACAACAACAACAATACATAAAATAATCCAATAGAAAAATGGCCCATGATATGAGCAGACACTTCAAAGAAGACATTCAGATGGCTAACAAACACATGAAGAAATGTTCAAAATCTCTAGCTCTAAGAGAGATGTAAATCAAAACAACTATGAGATATCATCTCACTCCAGTCAGAATATCAAAATTTAACAGAACAGTAAGCAACAAATGCTGGTAAGGTTGTGGAGAAACTGGAACCCTTATTCACTGTTGATGGGAGTGTAAAATGGTGCAACCACTGTGGAAGGCAGTATGGCGCTTTCTCAAAAAGTTGCAAATAGAAATACCATTTGACCCAGCAATTCCACTACTGGGAATATACCC